AGCCCGGCCAGGTGGGCCCTCACGGCCTCAGTCCGTCGGTCCAGCAACTTGAGATCCGCTCGGCCCTTCGCCTCAAGGACACGCTGCCAATGGGAGGTGGGTCCACACCTGCTGCCCGACCCCCGACCCCCCCTCCCCACCACCACACTCACACTAGTGACCCGGGAAGCCGGGCAATGGACACGGTTAGGAATTCCAGGCCACTTCCTGGCTAAATGCACCAGGTACCTTTTTTTAAAAAAATATATTTTATTGATTTTTTACAGAGAGGAAGGGAGAGGGATAGAGAGTGAGAAACATCGATGAGAGAGAAACATCGATCAGCTGCCTCCTGCACGCCCCCCATTGGGGATGTGCCCGCAGCCCAGGTACCTGCCCTTGACCGGAATCGAACCCAGGACCCTTCAGTCCGCAGGCCCCAGTGTGGGGCGTGCAGGGGGCAGCGGGTCCATGATCCCCTCTCGTCCTGGATGTCTCTCTCTCTCTCTCTCTCTCTCTAATGCATAAAAATACCTTTAACAAGGAGAAGAAGGTACATAATACGATTGAAAGACCAAAGTCCACACGACGGGGGGGAGATAGGATTCCCATTTCAGAGGCTTGTGTGGGGGGGACAGGGCGCCTAGCAGCCTTGAGGTGAGGGGTGGGAGCCGCCTGTGTGCGGGGAGCGGAGAGCGGGTTGAAAATTCCCTTTATTTAGCTTCCTTCCCGGTGAATATCGTAGGTGGGCGTCCCCGCCCCAGTGCACACATCCCCGCCTCCGGGAGCCGCCAGGCTGTGTGGGCACCTGGCCAGCCGCGACCTCATCCGGGCTCACGTCTCCCTTAAAACCTGCAGTTCAGTCAACGGACACTCCTCCTGGGTGGGTTGGCCGGCCTCCCAGGTGAACTGTGGGGTGAGGAGGGTCCGGGTGGGTCATGGGGCCTGGCCAGGGGGCAGGGGGCACGGGTTATGGGTTCCCTGTCCTGTCGGCTTGCCGGCTACCCTGGTGGTCACCCCCTCTTCCCAGTGCCTGGGCTGGACTGTGGCCACCTCCGCCCCAGAGGCGCCCGGGGGCGGACACCCGGACGTACCATCTTCTCATGTAGGCTGTCCCCGATGGGGTCCTTCAGGTGCGGGATGGGCGAGAAGAGGGTCTTCAGCACCGAGTACCTGAGAGAGAATCAGAGGGCGGGGGAGCAGATAAATGGGGGAGACCCCTTGTGGCCCCCACAAATGGGCGTTTTGCACCCGAAGTTCCCTCCGGGAGCCCTGGGTCCCGTCCACCTTCTCATTGTTCCCACCAAGGAGCCAGGAATGGCCCCCCCACTGCCCACCTCCCACCCACACCTGTGGGGGCTCCCCCAGAACCCACTGCAGAGAGCGGGCAGGGCTGGTCTCCCCCCAGCTTGACGTGGGATTTGGGCCGCCTCTGGGCTTGTTCGTGGGGACTGGGGTACAAGATCCATCATGGACCGGCTGCCTCCTGCACGCCCCCTACTGGGGGTTGAGCCTGCACCCCGGGTGTGTGCCCTTGACTGGGAATCGAACCCTTGACTCTTTGGTGTGAGGACCGATGTTATAACCACTGACAAACATCAGCCAGGGATGATGATGATGATGATGATGATTCTTCTTCTTCTTACTTAAGGATTTTTTAAAATTGATTCTT